AAGAGTAACTCCAGTTCAGCTGAAACGAATGAGACTTCAGCAGTTGGCATTAGTTACATCAGATAACAGTAGGTATCTTCCACAGTTCACAACTCTTTTAGTACAAAGTTTGCACACTGTGTTCGTCAGACACATAAGGGTGGGTATGTGAAGTAATGTTATAAGACGGTGTTTTATTTTTTCTATTATTTTTCTCTAGTTTATTATAATTTATTTTTTCTTCTGATGTATAATGTTCTCTGTTTTTGTTACTATTTGCTCAGTTGTTTCTATTGATGATCTGCGATTATTATGAAAGTGACCTGTGCTTTTTGATTGTATTGTAAAGATTAAAATGATGTTGTAATGTTATGATCAGACTAGAAAAAAGTGAACTTATCCTTTAATATAACTGTCTAAACTAGCAACAGACAAAAAGTAACTTGGTCTTTATAAAGACTTATTTACAATGTGGTTTATGAATCTTAGACATACACATACAACATACATTTGTATTAAGACTTAAAAAACGCCAGGTTAACAGCTGATTTGGAAAACAGTGCATCTGAATGATAAAAAGACACAAGGCCAAAAAGTTTGACACAGTAAAAATCAGGAACCCCCTCATCACTGTAACAAGGACTGTAAAACACCTCTACTCAAGACTTTACATTTAACATTACAGATTTCAAATTGCCTCAAAAAAAAATATAAATAAAAAGCGGATAAATAACGGCAAATTAAACCCAATGGAAATATAAAAGGGTACAAATGCAGACACTTTTCTACACAGGAGGGCGCACAGTGAGCCTTTGCTGACATCTAGTGGCGTTTGACGCAACTGAAAATATGTGCACACTTTTAAAACAATGTAAAACGCAACAAATATATTTAATTATTTTCGTATTGCACATCACAATCAGTGCATTTCAGTATTTTACTCTACTTTGATATCTGTGGTTTTATGATACTGAAAACTGACTGTTTTAATTAAACTGCACACGTGAAGCCACACTACAGGCAGAGTTAAAAATTAGCAACAGCTATAAACTCTCTGTGCAACACACCAGATTCATGCTTTGTACTGGAACTGTACTGTTTATGTTCATATGTACATATGTACCGTTTATGTAATAGTGTATAGAAACTCGCATTGCATGTTTTTATATCCAGCAGACCTGATGCCTGTAATGCTCTCCTACTGGTCTACCCAAAAACGTTATGAACCGGCTTCTGCTGATTCAGGATCTGTGGCCCGAGTGCTGAACAGGACCAGAAGGAGACAACACAGTTTCCATAGTGATTTTAAAACCCTTTCACTTGTTTTTAAAGCACTTCATGGTCTTGCACCAGCATATAGTATGTCTCACATGCTTACAGCTTATGAACCTGTACGACTTAATTGTTCCGAAGCGCAGGATTCAAACCTTTGGCGAGGCAGCTTTTAGCTTTTATGCTCCGAGCTGATGGAACAGTCTGAGATTTTCTTACGTTTTTTTTTTTGTTTGCTAATGTTATTATAGCTTTTTTAATCTATCTTTATCATTATCATTATTATCATTTTTATCAAATATCACTTCAGTCTTCTGTGAATCACTTTGAACTGCACTAACCTGTATGAAAAGTGCTATACAAATAAGGTTTGATTGGTTGATAATGATTCTAACGCCATTTAAAGTATTCAACAATATCCAGTATTGCATGAACGCACGCACAACAGCACTGCTGTCCTAGGGGAACCACTGCGATGTCATATTTCCCACAGTGAGCTGTTTTGAAACCCGATCGCTCCCATGTGTGTAACTTTTTCATGAATACGTGATTGATGTCACCACACATTCCTCGCCACCACAAGCCAGGGGACAAAGGTCGTTTCTCCTCCTCTACCTGCTCTTATGCGTACAGGGAAGTGCACCCCATGAGTCAGTGGATTAGCATCCCACTTAGCCCTGCCCTTGTTTGTTAAAGCTGGTTAAATGTGAAACTGAACTATCTGCTGACCCCACCTCCACCCACACGTCCTCCTCTGTCTTTTTCTACTGATACTACAGAAGAACGCTCCACTGTAGAAGTCATTCAGATCATCTCATACTACTCTTATGAAGCAATTACATCGCGCCAATTCAACTTGATGTTTTAAATATGTTGCTTTACATGGACAACAAACTTACAAAGTTGAGTTCACAAACTTTGAACCAACCTTGTTTATTTCTGCTCACCCTTGGCAACGAGACCACTCAGAAATAAAAAAAAAAATCCACTGCCAGTCTAGTTTTTTAATGCCAGTATCTCTTGGGAAATCAAGACTTATTTTCTCTCACTCAACATTTATGTGATTTATGTGTTTTTTTTTCCATAAACCATTTTATTGCAGTCAAATATTGGGCGGGGGTCAAATATCGGGTGATGTTTTTTCCATGTTTGTCTGCAGAGCCAGCTGGGCACTGGGCAGGACTGGGACACTTTGGCACACAATATGGAAAGCCTTTCAAAAAAAAGAGTCCAACATAAATGCTCCCAGTGCTTTATTTTTCCAAAACATACTGATTACTCTGATGTTAGCCACCAGTCTGAGAATCTATGCAAAAAATCTCATTGTGTATAAATGAGCTCCAGGAGACCAAGTCCTGGTCACATGTATGGCCAATACATGAAAGACATAGCCTGGAGAGATAGTGTTTGTGTTGCCTGGATACACTTTGTGATTGAAAGATGATTCAAAAGTTACTGTATGTACAGACGTAGGGTTGGAAGAACAATGCGCACACAAGGCTTACTATTATGAGTACTGCCTTGGGAATTTCAAAATCTCTCCTCTCTATAAATAGAGATGAGGCAATAATTTGCTTATTGGCTAATATCAGCTTTAACTGTAGAGCTCGTTTTCAAACCAGCAGTTGTTGTTAATTATTTTTAGGGCATTTTACCCAAAGAGCAGGTTCACATTTTTTCGAGTTTGTCATAAAACAAGACTCACACACCACTTTGTACATTAAAGGAGTTATTGCATACTCTAATCATTCCTTCTCTCAATATTGGCTGTGAATTGATCCCTTCCAGGAAGTGTTCTCTTTCAAGAGTAACTCCAGTTCAGCTGAAACGAATGAGACTTCAGCAGTTGGCATTAGTTACATCAGATACAGTAGGTATCTTCCACAGTCACAACTCTTTTAGTACAAAGTTTGCACACTGTGTTCGTCAGACACATAAGGGTGGGTATGTGAGTATTGTTATAAGACGGTGTTTTATTTTTTCTATTATTTTTCTCTAGTTTTATTATAATTTATTTTTTCTTCTGATGTATAATGTTCCTGTTTTTGTTACTATTTGCTCAGTTGTTTCTATTGTGATCTGCGATTATTATGAAAGTGACCTGTGCTTTTTGATTGTATTGTAAAGATTGAAATGATGTTGTAATGTTATGATCAGACTAGAAAAAAGTGAACTTATCCTTTAATATAACTGTCTAACTAGCAACAGACAAAAGTAACTTGGTCTTTATAAAAGACTTATTTACAATGTGGTTTATGAATCTGACATACACATACACATACATTTGTATTAAGACTTAAAAACGCAGGTTAACAGCTGATTTGGAAAACAGTGCATCTGAATGATAAAAGACACAAGGCCAAAAGTTTGACACAGTAAAATCAGAACCCCCTCATCACTGTAACAAGGACTGTAAAACACCTCTACTCAAGACTTTACATTTAACATTACAGATTTCAAATTGCTCAAAAAAAATCATATAAATAAAAGCGGATAAATAACGGCAAATTAAACCCAATGGAAATATAAAAGGGTACAAATGGCAGACACTTTTCTACACAGGAGGGCGCACAGTGAGCCTTTGCTGACATCTAGTGGCGTTTTGACGCAACTGAAAATATGTGCACACTTTAAAACAATGTAAAACGCAACAAATATATTTTAAATATTTGGTAGCATGACACGACTAACGCCACCATCTTACTCTGTGCTATTTAAAACTTATAGTTTCGTCGTTTAAAGAGACAACGCCGCTCATTACTGATAAGCTTACAGCAGCAATGTGCCGAGCTAAAGCCTACAGGCCACTTTTAGCTTATCAGTAACTGTTGCTCCGGGCTAATAACCACTAATGGTTTGGCGCCGACGCTTCTGTCGGTATTATTAATTTTGATGCTGCAGTTTTAGTGAGTTGATGGAAGTCTGACGAGAAAGTATGGGCTCACCGTCGCAGACTCCTGTTGTTATTCTCGGGGGACGACTCTTCTTCAGCTGAAAACTTCCTCTTCAAGCTCCTGGAGCTCGGTTGTCTCTTTGGTTTCTCCCCATTGGAGACATGAGCTGGGACCTCATCGGTTTCACCCATTTGAAGTGTCACTAACACAGACCGGTGGTAATTATGTGTTACTGAAAGGGTTAAACAAAATAACAACAATACATCTCACTAATACAACAGAGACTCGTGACTATTTTTGAATATGGCGGAAGTCCAAGTATTGACCAATGAGAGAATAGAGGAACTCGTTTCCGGGATGTCACAATAAATGGGCGGGGCGACAGTAATTCAAGGGACCGTAGTGTCCGATAAAACAAAAATAATGTTATAATCAAATATATCAAACAAATGAGATATAATATAAAAATATGTAAAAAGTTGTGATATTAAAAAAGCCCAATATCTTTAAGAATATCTATGCACTTTAATAGCGGACTACTTGTTTGTTTCATTATGTTTATTTTTATTTTATATTTTTTCTTGTTTATTATAAGTGTATTATTTTTCTTGAGTTTTCTTTTTTTTTTCCTCTGACCTATAATGTTCCTGTTTTTGTTACTGTTTGCTCAGTTGTTTCTATTGTGATCTGCAAATACCCAAACATGACTTGTGCCTTTTTTGACTGTATTATAAAGAATCTCATAAAAAGAAAAAGGAAAAAGATGCCGTAATGTTATAATCAGATATCAAAGAACTGGCTATCACACACAGATGCACACACACACAAACATAAAAAACAGTAGTTATGGGGCAATTGAAGATGAGAGAATTGTTTATTACATAATCTACCAGACAGAGGACAATTGTTATATGTACTTATATACTGTTATATACTGTTGTGGTATACTTTAGCCAACTGAGGTGACAGGTAAGTAGGTCCCTCAAAAATAAGTGCAACACATTAAAGACATACGGTGACTATTCAGTAGTATCAACTTGAGCACTATCTGAACAGCCATAACTTATTGTATATAACTTAAAGATATTACCTGTCTTGTTTATAAAGATTAAAGCTGCTGATAAAAATGTATTCAAAAAAATTCAACCAGCACTCAATCTGATGCACACTCACCAGCATCAAACACTGCTGGGGGAAAATGTCACTGTCCAGGCCAGGAGGCTCTGAGCTTGAGGAGAATCTGCACATCACAGGGTGCCAAGCAGTAAACCCCCAACTCATTCAATGCAGACTCGGGTGGAGGGTCCTCTATACCTCCCATATCTCTCGTCTCCTCCTCTGAGTCTTTAAGGAGATCCCTTAGCAGAATAGCAGAGCCCACATTCAGGCACAAGATGATGCACGCCTCCTTAACACTGTGAAGACACAGAGAGACACGGACTAATCAGGATGCCGGTAGAACTTGGTCTCTTTATCTTCACTTGTCTTTCTTATAATCCTCATACCATGTTTTGTTTTTAGCTTGGTCATTCATTTTGTGATCATTACTATTGTCATAAACTGTTACACACATGATATATGGACTCTAACCCTAACCAGCAACATCCAGTTGTTGAAACATTTAGTCACATGTATGAGCCTGTGGTAAAAAAGTGTTACACATGTGCATGCACACACACTTGTTTGGGCATTTTGAGCCACACACACACACACACACACACACACTCACTGCTTAAAGAAGTTCTCAGGTCTTTTGCAGTAGTGACCAAACAGAGGAAACAGGTTTCTGGTCATGTCGAACTGAAGCTGAGCCGCTCCGCCGTCACTGAAATGATTGGACAGGACCACCTGACAGAGAGAGAGACACAGGGAGCTCATTGTAACTGCACTGATAGGAAATCACATGGATCTGCTGTTTATAGCAAGCATTACAACAGAACAGAAGCGGGGCTTTAGTGGGTATTCATGTCTTACATCCTGGTAGAGGAAGTTGTCAAGTCTCTCTGCCAGGCCCTGCCAGGCCAGCTGGAACAGAGAAAGACTCAGGACCTGATGAAGGTTCAACAGTCTGTCCCTCACACACAGCATCATGGGACATGCTGAACTGGACAGGGACATGGTGGACTGGTCATGCTGGGATGGTAGAGATAACCACCTAAAGGAAAGCGAATAAGTGAGAGTTAATGTTTATTCTTTGGCCGTCCTGTTCAAATCCTGTTCACTCATGTCTTGCCTGTCTTGGCCGTATGGTCTGGCTTTCTCTGTGATTTCTCTCATGGTCCATTCCAGCAGTCTTCCCATCATGTCTCCCTTCAGTCGATCCAGCAGAGCCAGCAGACCTTCGAACAGAGAGCCCTCCAGAGAAGCCAGGCGACCCACCTCCATCACCCCGAGATCTCCCAGCACCGTCTCCTCACCGAGGGAAACGGCCGCCTGCTGCAGCTGTAGGAAGAACTGAGGGGAGAGGAAAGGAGCTGGTAAACACAGACCTCAGTGAGAAGCAAAACCCAGATCCAGATGTGTCCAAGTTTCTATGCTGTCATCGAATCCTTGCTCAGACTCACACTGTTCTTCACTTCCTGTTTGATCAGGCAGTTTCTGAATCAAATCATGATTCTAGCAATTTCATTTGAACTAAATTAAAGAACTAATAATTTAATTATAATTAAATGTTACTCATATTGAGAACTGAGAACTGGCAAAAAACTGACACAAATGAAATAAATATAAAATGAACTGAATAAACTCCACTCACCACATTGTCTCCCCAGTCTCCCAGAATGGTGGAAATGTAGTTGACAGCATTAAGGATGGCACAATAACGGGCTCCGAGTGGACAGCGAGACTCCTCCTTCATCACCTGGCAAAGAAATACAATTTTTTTTCGATTTTACTGTTTTAAATGTATGTTTTCCGAGTCATAGTGTCTTCTATGTCGCTTCCAGTTTTTTCACCATTATTATGAATTATTATTATTATTATTATTATTGTTTTATCATATCCTTTATTCAACCAAAAAGTCTCATTGAGATGAAAGTCTCTTTCTCTACAGTGACCAGGGCAAGGCAGCAGCAGCAACAGTGTTACAACAGTAAAACACAAACAACTGAACAAACAAGTGAACACAAATCCAGTTACTGTGCAACAGTAAAATGATTTCAGTGCAAATTTAGGAGCAGTTACGTTCACCAACAGTACTGGTTTCTGGATCCTTTGAAACTGACATATATTCCTCCATAGTAATAAACTCAGTCCTTCTGCAGATTACCTGCAGATTATCTGTCTTACAGCTGTTACACCTACACCTCCTTACAACACACAACCTACTTAGAATTCACAATGTCCCTCTGACATGTCAAAAACAGAGAGCAGCGAAACACTGACTTTCATCCTGGTGCTTTAAAGAAAAGTTTCTCCATGTTCCAACATGTCCAGTACCACCCAGTGAAAGCTTGTGTCTCTCTCCATCATTTCTTTAATGTTTTCCTCATAATTGTAACCCCCAACACCTCACGTCTTCTTTTACTGTCCTTCCTTCATTACTTGACTGTTTTCTCTTTATTAACACCAGCGTGTTTTTGTCGTCATTACCTGGGTGAGTCGGATGCGGAAATCATCCACGAGTTCTCTCTGTAGCCCCAGGAACTTCAGTTGTGCTGAAGGACAGGGCAGGCCCCGGTACCGCTCTGAGAACAGCCAGATGACAGAAAACACAAACAGAAGAAGAAGAAGACGAAGGAGGAGGAGGAGGAGGAGTACAAGAAGAAGAGGAAGGAGGAGTAGAAGAAGGACAGGTATACCTGATGATGATTCCAGCCTCAACATTACTATGTCGTCAGAGAATGGAGATTCATTTTGTATACGGTAACGTGAAACTATAATAAATTATATTCTGAACTGAAGGTTTTTCTTTCCATCTGAACCCAGTGGAAAACATTTAGGGTGTGGTACAATAGGAGGTGTTTGATGCAAAAAAAAAAAAAGCAAACTGGCAGTGTCTCAATATGGTGAGTGGAGCAGACTGATAGTCTTACCAGTGATGACCTGCAGCAGAGTCATGAAGGTCTCAGCACAATCAGGAGCCTTCAGCTCATCCATGTCACTGATGTCTTTGTACTGAGAGCTCCACGCTCCCTCAGCCGACAGCATGGCGTCCATCTTCTCCACTGCCACTGTGTATACAGAGGGACACAGGGTTATAACAACAGCAAACTTACTGAGACCGTGATGGTTGTGTGTGTAAGCATGTGACTTGTAGCATGTTCATATGGGATTGCATAAATCTCCACTGTTAACATGCTGATCTTTTATTTTTGAGTTCTGTGGATATCAGCTTGGTAAGTTAGGAAGCTGTAGACGGATCAGCTACAGTTTGTCTTTGACTGTAGTACGTTGTAACTGTGTTAATCTGAACTGAATCAGCAGCACATTTTTACAGCGTTGTCTCCTTGGGTGAGGGTGGAATAGTTTGTATGGTGTAATACAAGGGTGTAAGGAAGAAACACGACTTAATTAATTATGTGAATTATTATAATAACAACACACAGGTGGCTGGCTATACCCCGTGTAGGTGATGCAACATAAGATGTAGATGGAAAATGATAAAAGTGGTAAAAGCGATGAAGTGGTGTAGTTGGTGTAGTAAAATTCACTTTAATACAAACATTAATTGTAGTTAACCTCATAACTAGAATTCGGTCCTCGTGGTTGTTCCCTCCACCAACCAGACAAATCGCAAGAAATATGGTCAGAGTCTTTTCTGAGTTACAGTGTTGAATGATAATAATTGTTGTATTGTAAATGTTTATGCAGAACATTATGATGTCACAGTGAAGGTGACCTTTAAATGTCATCACTTCATCATTTCATCCTATTAGACATTTGTGTTACATTGTGTCATAATTAGTGAATAAATTTGTGAGTTATGGACAAAAATGTGTTTAATGAGGTCACAGTGACCTTTGACCTTTGACCACCAAATTCTAATCAGTTTATCTTTGAGTCCAAGTGAATGTTTGTGCCAAATCTGAAGGGATTGCTTCAAGGTGTTACTGAGGTATCATGTTCACAAGAATGGGACGGACGTAAAGACAACCCAAAAACAAAAAACCTTTGGCCCTGGCTGTCATCGACGCAGCGGCCTAATAAACTGAAGTAATAATAATGGAATAACTAAATTATGCCTTTGACTAACAATCACACAGAGGAACGAGTGAGAGGCAGCGCCAGTCCTGGCATGAACTCAGTTAATTGGCCTCATACTCGACCACTTACTCTTCCTCTCCACAGTAAGCCACTTCTGGAGGACTGCGTCGTCCAGCAGGAGGTGGAGCAGCCCGGGCAGCACCACTGGGTAGTTCTGGTTGCTGCGCAGCTCCTTCTCAAACTGCAGCACCTCCTCCACCAAGTGACAGAAGAGCACATCATCATACAGCAGTCTGGAGGCATCGCTGGCCACTTTGTCCTGGACCAGACACAACAGGCCTCGACACAGCTCCACCTGTGTACACACACACACACACACACACACACACACACACACACAGAGCAACGTCAGCAACACATCTTGGAGTAGTGTTCAAAAGATATTACGTCATATGTTCTAATAAACACAATGTCAACAATACAGAGGTTAAGAGTCCTTGATAACCAAACATCATTGTTTCAGTTGTTTAATAAATATCACATATATTACAATTAACTTTCACATTTCAAACAGGTGAAAACTGGAGTGTGAGTGGAAAGAAAAGATTACTTTTAACTGACATGACCACAAAAAATGAAGGTTTCAATCCCCCCTCCTGAGCTCTAGACTAAAGAAGAATCAAAAGGTAGTATGAATTCATACAGAGAGAAAACTCTTACATAGTCTCAGTTAACGTCTTAAAACAAGAGTGGGTCGGAACCTAGTGTCATTCTGGCCCGTCTATGGTCAAATGATTTTATAACTGTGACATCGTCTGACAAAATCACCAAACACATAAATAAGAGCTGTGATTTCAGCTGTGCCTACTATAACATGACTCAGAGTGAGTGTTTTTTTCTGCTTTTATTACAGTCATAGTGAGAGAGAGAGAGAGAGAGAGAGAGAGAGAGAGAGAGAGAGAGAGAGAGGATGACACGCAGCAAAGGGCCACATTACTGGGTCACATCATGTTTTGTGATCTTGATCTTTGACCTTTGACTACCAAGATCTAATCAGTTCAACTTTTGATTCCAAGTGAATGTTTGTGCCAAATTTGAAGAAATCCCCTAGAGGTGTTACTGAGATATCGTGTCCACAGACGGACGTACAGATGGACGGACAACCCACCTCCAGCCCTGGCTGTTTTGCCTGCGCAGAGGCATTGAAATACCTGTGTGAACCACACTTAACCAGAGAGGATCAAAACAATCAAGTAGTCGTTGTAGAAGAACATACCCTGGCACTGATGGCGGCCCCGGCTCGGTCCAGAATAGGCTGGATCTTTTCCTCCATGAAGGTGGAGCTGTTCCCCATCCACATCAGAACCTGTGTGAGGTACCACTCCGGCTGAAAAAAAAAAAAAAAAAAAAAAACACAGACAGAGGATGAGTTGGAGGTTTGAGAGATTTTCTCCTGTGTGGGAACATTCAGCCTCTCACTGATCCACTTGTCTGTGCTTGTAAAATTAAAAAATAGAGATGTCAGCATCTAAGCGAAGGTGCAGGTGCCATCATGTTTCCCATGGAACAACAGCAGTAATTATCACAATTTATCTGTGAATCATATGCATTTGTGTCTAGCTTCACTGTGATGTGTGTGTGTGTGTGTGTGTGTGTGTGTGTGTGTGTGTGTGTAAGACCTTGCTGAGGGAGTTGGTCTGTCGATTCCCGTAGAAGTGGTATCTGAATCTCCTGCTGAGCGGCAGCAGCATGATCTGGATGGGCAGACAGAGGGGAGGAGCCTGAGACGGAGGTGTGGCTGACGACGCAGGCTGGGCAGAGGGTGCACCGTGACCGGAGGCCAAAGCCCTCTGAGATATGAGGTCATCACTGTCAGGGGACGTTAAAGAAACGAGCACATGCAGTGTCCTGGACTCACACCGTCACACAGTGCAGTCAGAAAGTATTCAGACCCCCTCAGGTTTTTCATGTTTTATCATTATGCTTAAGCTGAAGTAAAGAAATAATTTTCCCTCATCAATCTACACTCAATATTCCACAATGACAAAGTGAAAACAGAATTTTTGTAATTCCTGAAGATTTATTAAAAAAAAATTAAAACTGAAATATCACATTGACATAAGTATTCAGACACCAATCTGCAGCAGTTCCTTCCTCCTCATGGTTTCTGCTCTGATCTGCATTGTCAGCTGTGAGGCCTTATATAGACAGGGGTGTGTCCAATCAGCTGAGTTTACCACAAGTGGACTCCAAACAAGGTGTAGAAACATCTCAGAGATGATCCAGAAAAATGGGAGGAACCTGGGCTGAATTTAAAGTGTCTGAATACTTATGCCAATGTGACCAATGTGTTTTCATTTCTAGTTTTCAGAAATTTCTAAAATTCTGTTTTTGCTTTCAACATAACATAATGTGAAAAAAGTGAAGGGGTCTGAATACTTTCTGAAAAGTTTGAATCCTGCTGGGAATCCTGCTGTTTCATGTCACCCTGTCCCCCTCTACTTTACAACTACTGTCATCAATTTGTTAAAAACTACAATAATGACACTCATGCTTTAAAGATTGGAAGATGCCTGTACATGAAAGAGCAATACATACTGTATGTAGCGATTATTTGCAGCTAATCTTCGTTAGAGGTCTACAGAACATAGATGTGAAGAAAGTGAAGGATACGAGGTCTGCAGGGCGAGTAGCTGAGTGACGAGCAGCTCCAGCTGACTGTTGATCTCCTGACCGTTGGCAGTGGGTGTCAGTGACTGAGTTGGAGGGGAGATGATCGGCCAGTGAAGCTGAGTCAAAACTTTCTCAAAATCACTGTGGAAGGAAGAGGAGGACTGAGCTCATATGGTGAACACAGCATAATAATACAGTATTTATGGAGTATATAAAAGAACACTGTGTGGGGGACTGGGTGGAGGTTCACCTGGACAGTCGGTCTTTGATAATCTTGTGCCAGAAGTGAAGTGTTTCTCGGAGGAAGTCCTGGAGGTGAGAGCATCCAGATTGGTTGAGTCCAGCATCCAGTGCAGCCATGCTGTCTACTGCCCTGATGGCCTCCCAAACACTGCTGGTCATCAGACACTGCTGGACTGCAGCACTGCAGACACACAACACTTCACACATTACTGCTTCTGTCAGCCCACAGAAGACTGAAGGCAGGAAGAACGCTTTTTAAAGGTCAAACTAAAACTCAGCATGTCTCACTGCCCTTTCTCTCCAGGGTCTTAGAAAAAGTTAGTGTTGAACTGACTGCCCTCCTTAGAGTCATGAATGATCTGCCAGTTGAAAATCATTCAAGTTATCTAACTGTTGGTAAATCTGTTTTATTGGAACATCTCCACCTCTGGGTTGGCATCTCTGGTTCAGTTATAAATTGGTTTTATGCTTATTTACAAGATACATTTCTTAATGTGGGCAAGTCACGGTCATCGTCTGTGAAGATGACCTGTGGAGTACATCAGGGGTCCGTCCTTGGGCCTCTATTCTTCTCTCTATACATGTTACCACTGGAGCCTCTCATCTGCAGACATAATGTCAGCTGTCATTTCTATGTAGATGACACTCTCTTCTCATCTCTCTTTTAACCTAACTCATTCTTACTCATTAAGATAAGACTGAGGTAATTCCTAATTACTATTGGCCCTGACAAAGTTAATGCTTGTACCTCTCAGTTCCAAAAATCTTGGTGTCACCTTTGATAACCTCCTCAGTTTGAACATGCATGTCAACATAGGACTTAGGGTTTGAATTCACTTTCAACTTTTTAAGTCACTTCTTAAAACCCATTATTAAACTAAGTCATCATCCTGATACTTATTTTATCAACTATTTCAAACATTTAAGAGTATTCTATTACTCTACCTCATTTGTAGTACTTCTGCTCTTTTGTCATCTCTAATGTTGTATAATCTTTAAACAGTTTTTAATTGTTTTCTATTGTTTTTATTTTGTCTTGTAAAGCACTTTGGAGCTATGTATTGAAAGATGCTAAATAAATAAAGCTTATTATTATTATATCCATGTTATATTCTAAAGCTAATGGCGGTGATGCAGGTGAGAAAATAGTTTTGCATATGAGAAAAAACCTCTCACGAAGAGAACAGCAACAATGTTAATGAATCTCAACTGTTTGGATACATTATTTAAAGTACCTGAGTTCCTCTATATGTTGAAGGCAGCGTAGGTATTTCATGTGTCTCTCTATGGTGTCGACTTGGTTAAGCGTCTGGCCAAGATTGTCCATCCAAGGCTGGGCTCCCTGTAGGTGCTAGAAGACAGAATCATTTACTATGACAAACAACTGCTTATGGCTCCTAGAAAGTGAAAGGACTTTATAGTCTCTGTCAGACATGAACTGGAATATTTCTGGCTTGCAAGAGGCAACTCTAAATCCCTTTTATTGTCAGTGACAGCGGTTCTGGAGAACAGCAATAGCTTATAAACTAAGCTCTTCTGAGTTGTGTACATTGCAGCATGATGAATGTGAATTTGTTTGTGATCCACAACACAAGTGCGCAAAATGTCTTGGGCTTAAAAAGAGGCAGCATGACATTAAAAGAACATCTCATTTACAATAAATAATGGTTAATTCACATAATTTGATTGTTTTTGCAGGTTTTATTATAATGAGAAGCTGTTGTGCACACCTTCTAGTAGATGTTATATTGTAGTGAACACTGTGCTGTTTTTTGTCCAACTACTATTTTCAAGGTAAATAATGAACAATCAAGCCAACTAGCCGTTTGTGTGACAACATGAAACTGATCTTTCACCGACCATTAGCCAAATAGAAAAATGTCTGTTAATGCCCGATATCAGTGCTTGTGTATCTGTGATATGATTTGTATCAGACTAATGGAATCTACATTATCAGTGAGTGTTGCACACTGTCTTGTCTCATGGTGTGTCTCTACCTGGTGCAGTGTGTTGGAAATGAGTCTCTCCTTCTGCTGCAGGTCCTCCAGGGAACATCTGGCCTCTTCAGCAGCAGACAGAGCTTCAGAGACTTTAGGAGGCACAGAGCTGGAGACAGTAAGAACCTGAACAACAGAAAATATAGAGTCACTGCTCGTGTTTGACACAGTAACAAGTCTTGTGGTCAGTTGGCTTTACAGCTACCAGACTGAAGAAAACCTGCAGTCAGCTTGCTCTAATGTTGACACTGATTTACCGGATTGTGCCGTTTTCCTTAATCAAGTGGGAAAAATCTTTAAAAATAATAGGCTAACACGACATCAGAAGAACATCTTAACAATAAGTAATTGTTGATTCACAGCAGGTTTTATTTTCTTTTGAATTAGAAATAAAAATGCAATGAAAAATTTACAACACATAGGGTTCTAAAAACCTGCATATCCTTAGCATTTGCTGTGCGTAACTGGCAAAAATAAGGCAACATTTGGCCTCTATGGCGCAAAGTTTTCTTCAATCTGATTAAATGTAGAGACAACTGCAGTGAATTAATTAATAAACAATTAATTATTTGTGTGCACAAGCTGCCACCACAGATGTGCCATGCCCAGGTGGTGCAGCAGGTATTGAGTGCAAGAAAGAGTCACGAGCAGATTCTGTTCCAGGACTGAGTGAAATCAGCTCTTCTAAAAAGGTAAGGCTTTAATCAGTGTGTGTGTGTGTGTGTGTGTGTGTGTGCGTGCGTGCACGCGCGCGTGCGTGCATGTCAGGAGGGTGAGAGGTGTCACCAAAATACCAAGTGCACACACACACACACACACACACATACTCACTTTTGCCTTTGCATGTGTGTGTGTGGTAGTGCTACTTGAAATGACCCTAATACACACACACACACACATTCATTTGCCTTTTAACTTTTTTCCATTAACACACGTTCGTGCACTGATCCTTCAAACACAACACAACTGCACAAGTGAAGTATGTGTGTGTGTGATGTGTGTGTGTGCACTTGGTATTTTGGATGACCCTTTCACGCTCGACACGCAAGCCGCGCTGCAATGCACACACACACACACACACACACACACACACACACACACACTGATTAAAAGCCTTACCTTTTTAGAAGAGCTGATTTCACTCAGTCCTGGAACAGAATCTGCTCGTGATCTCTTTCTTTCACTCAATACGTGGCTGCAGCCAACC